TCCTTAATATAATGTGCTTTCAATAAATTTGATGACACCAGTCATGATAGTGTTGACAGTTAACACGTTGGGCCACAGAATCGACGAGTGTTTCAAATGATAACCGAACGGTCAAGAACTGCATTTTGCTCTTTTCATTCCATTGTTTGTTCCACGATCGCAACAATTCAGTGTGTTTGATATCGAAAATTCGAAAATGGATGCAAAAAGTAATCTTGATGCTTCAAGATTATTTTCTTCAATGTTTCACTTGTCCTAACGGATGAATCTATCACTTAAACGATACGAATGTGAATGTCCTCTTCCAGTTTGTATCTCAACTGCTCGTATCTTAACGCAGTGATACCGATGAACGTAACAATACGTTGACAAAAGATCAACAATTTTAATTTGTGTTTTACATGACACTCAAAGAAATGCTCAAGTGTGGAGGAGATGGATGAGTTAGAGCATCAAAAAGCATGAATAAATTGAAGGATGAATACAGCACTATATAAATACTAAACAATAACTACAGGTATATAACAACGAAATGCATCACACAATTTTCATCGGATATACAATCAATCCCTACAGCAAATCAACCGATGCTTTTTCTCAAAATATTTTCCGGTCAACATGAGACTCATGAGCCGGCATCCATTGAGGATCAGAAAATTCTGTTAATAAATGAGATTAATTATTTGTAAGAGATGATGGCGATATTTCGAGATGATAAACACGGATCAAATAATGGGATTAAATGAGCACGGAAGCCATTTTCTCTGATGAAACAGTAACGATCTTCGAGTATGAGTGTTTCGGTTAGTTTCGCAAGCAGTAGTCGCATACAATAAAGTGATAAAAGACGATGAGACTGCGCTAACATCACATCTATTGCCGATTGCATTGAGGGATCTTTTTGCAGCTGAAATGTTGCATTATTATAAATCATCATCATTGTTATTGATGATACGATAAGCAACGAAACATTTGATTCGAAAACACGTCGCTACTTTGAATGATAACATGAGTGAATTTGAATAATGAGTGGATATAAAAACTAATAACATTAACATGAAAATGAACCGAAGCAAAGCAACAATCAACGAACCATCGTTCTGATATCATTCAAAAGTTGTGGTTTATCACTTAGCGCTTTCTGAAGATACGATGAAAATGAATCGAATGCACTCTGCTTAACATTTTTCATCTGTTGATGTCTATGACTATTAATTAATTGGCCGTAGACTTCGTCATTATTTGCAAAATTTTTATATTTATTACGGTAATAGTTCACCATTAGCCGTTCTAATATTGCGCGATAACAGTGTATATCATAGTCTTTCATACACTGAAAATTCACTTTTACATTTATATTCCTTCACAAAAACATTGAGATTAAAAAGTAATGAGATAAAATCTAATGAATTAAACGAATGAGTTTCAAAAAGACCAAAATATCGAATAATCTGGGTACGGGAAAGAATTTGATCGCTTTTCCTACCGAATTATCACACTGAATACGTTAACAGGTTTTCTAGGAAAAACCTTCTCGAAACCAACGAATATACCAAATATCGCTAAGTTCCCATCTCATTCCAGACTTTCATGTGGATCATCACTATTCTGTCGGTTGAATCAATATTTATCAATCCATCAACTGAATGAAACGTTAAAAATTCACTTTA